AGATTTCTTTGATAACGGTTTCATATTTAAATCTGCCTAAGTTATAGTAATAAACTTGAAATTATAATTATTAAAACTACATAATCACGTTTGGCATAAAAACATAACCTATAAAAAACGTCAAGCCGGCCGGTATATCATGCGCAATCGTGGATCGTATCTACTAAAATTTTTCTGCTGTTTGACTATCGTAACTGCATTCTGCGCAGGCGCACAATCCACCTTGCAGTTACGATATGTTGGTGTGGTCTGGTTACTTACGGCAAATTATTTTTCAAAAATTATTAATAATAAAAACAAAAATCATCTTAATAATTGTTTATAATGGCATTAAATGAAATTTTAAGGAATTTAAACACTGAAACTCATTTTTTATAAAAATGTAGTTACTGCTATTCTTGTTGGGGCGGCAGATGTGCATCAAAACGTTGCAATAGAAAAAGAGACAACCAAGTTTACTGTGTATGGCTTAGATAGCTGCGCAGTTGTTTTTCGCACACGGAGAAAAATGGATACTTAAATATAGTATCCAAAATATACTTAAAAAAATTTTAATTAAATCTAACATCTATATACTCAAAAATAGTATCTTAGTAAAAAAATATATATTCAGATTTAGTATCTCTAGATATTTAAATGTAACATAAGCGCTTGCGCAAAAGTCACGCCGCACTGCTATATTCAATTCGAAAAACTAACCTAAAATCTCTGTGTTTCACACGTGTAGAAAATCGTTGACAAGTGTATAATATATATATATATATATAATCAACAAAAAAATTTTGAGATTCCAAAATATGTTTAAAAAATTTGTATTTCAAGTTTGTTTATAATTTTATTCCTTATTATGATCGAAAAACTGATTTATTCCATGAAATAATGAGAATAATTGATTGAAATTGATATAAATACCGAAACTTTTACATATAATAATCGTGAATTTCTTTCTTTCATTCTGTCCACACCTGAAGTTGGTTGTTCTTGCGTTTGTTTCGTTTATAGGTTTTGACTTTTGACAATTCTAATTGTGGTTAACGTATGTTTTTTTTGTTTACATTTTTCCACGTTCATCAAGATTAAGGTTATTCTTAATATTTTATATATAAAAGGTAAATAAAATTAAGATTCTTCTTTATAAAGTTAAAAATTTTTTAAATTTGACATTTTTAAGAATTACTTTTTAATAATTTATGTTATTTTAACAAATTTTGTGACATTTAAGCATAGTTTCAAATTCTTTATTTATTATTGTTTTTTAAAATAAACATTCTAAATTAATTTTGTACTATAAATTTAAAATTGCATATGAATTACTAGGAACAAATAATTTTCTATATAATATTTTAATATTTTCTACACTAACTAAATCATACGAAAATACAAATGAATATTAAAAGTTTTGAATATAATATTAAAAGGGTAAAAAAATTTTTTATTAATCTTAATTACTGACATATTTTTTATTATCACAGTGAATTATCATATTTTTAATCCTAATATTAAAAATTAATTATTGACAATTAAAAAAAAGTGTTAAATAAAATTTTTCATTATTATTTTTTACAATAATTTAATTATTAATGAAATATTATCTTTACAGTATTTTTTTTAAATATAAAATGTTTAATATAGTTGAAATAAAACATAATTTTATTAAAATTATTTTTCAAAATTAGCAATAATTAATTTTTTACATTAAAATTAAAAAAATAATAATTCATTATCATAATAAAAATGTATAAATAATTATGATTAATAACGAAAAATTTTAAATGGATTAATATGTAAATAATACTAATTTTTAATATTATAATTATTGTAAATAAAAATATAATAATTTATTATAAAAATGTGTAAACATTCTTATTAATAACAATTTTTTTTCATTGTGTATATTTTAACATTTTTGAATATAAAATGATAAAATACTACATAAAATAATAATAATAATGTATGACTAAAAAATTTTGTTATTAATGAAAAATTATTTTTACAGTATTTTTTAAAAATATAATTTCTATTTATGTTATTAAAGTGTTCGTAAAAAGGAAAAAACTACAAGGCGCTTGCGCGCGCTTTTGTTTAGGTGGTACGTTTTATTATCTGGGATACTTAAATGTGAATATCTTGGATAGTAGCATTTAATATATAGAATTAAATATCCAAGGATACTAAATCTGAGTATCTATAGATAGTTGTCCCATATTTAAGTATCTAATATATTTACTCGTGAATATACAGATACTAAATTTAAGTATCCATTTTTCTCCGTGGCATGTATGAACAAAGAGTCTTTATGAAGAATATTAAAAAATTCCATAAATTTTGCAAATTATGAACAAGATCGTGTACACAAAGTAAATTACAATAATCGACCTTATTGGTTTCTTTTCTTCATACCCTACGTCAAAAGGACTGATTTCGTCTGCTATATTAGAGGCTGGCTACACTGAGAGCAAATTAGAAGGGTTAAATTTAATCCTCTGGCGTACTAAACTAAATTTTGCGTCTGCGTAGAATGTTTGTTTACATCTGCGACCATGGTTAATACCAGGTCATGGCTGGATATACAAGGCGCTGCGACCATGGTTGCAATAGGACAGGTTTAAAAAGTTCGCTGGCTTTGGCGACCACGTTATCGCCTTTTCTAACCTGTCACTATCGCAACCGTGGTCGCAGATGTACACAAACATTCTGCGCAGACGCAAAATTTATTCCACTTGTTTAGTACGCCAGAGGAATAAATTTAACCTTCCTGATTTGCTCTCGTTGTAGCCAGCCTCTTAATAGATTCTCAGTGCCACCTTCTGTACGAACTTGTACTGAATTTTAAATTCAGTATCCTTGAAAAATTTAAGTTAGATTCTAGACTGGCTTCATATATCAAAGAAAGTAAAGGGAAAAGTGTATAAAAACTGTACATTAACTTTTCAGGGCCAGGACAGTTTTTTCAGAATAAATTAACACGATAAATACTGCCTAGCTGTAGTCTAGAAAGGCCATGAGAAATTTCTACACGGGTTGCACTGCAATCTTTGCGTTCAACATTTACTCACATGCGGACATATTAATATTTAAACAATTTTTTCTGAACCCGGCGATTCAATACTCCCAAGTCAACGTTTAAACCTTCAATAAATCTTCAGGGAATTTTCGGTGCTGTGTGGAAACATTAGATTAATCCGAGTTTAATCGTTTGAATTGTTAATAAGAGTAAACGTAAATACAAACATTGTTTTATATTTTTCTGACCAATACACACAGAACATCAAGAAAAGTTATGGAATTTGTCGAAAACATTTTAGTTGTAGTGGGTGCATTTATGGGATTGTTAATGTGTTATTTCGTTACATATATTATCAATTATATAAAAAACTCATCAATTTCTAGATGTTTCAACTCCTTTACTGGATCAATATCTTCATAGTATAAAATATATATATTACAACAATATAAAAAATATATAAAAATAACTAAAAACTTATTGTTTTTGAGGATATATAATATGTAAATAAAATAAAAAAATTTTTTTTGTATAACATGACAGAATCAAAATTAGAATTGTCGATTTTCTAATTACTCATATCAGTTGTATTGAATTCAATTTACGAAGTTAATACTACTCTCTAAATCTAAATTAGTAGTTTTCTACTAATGAAAGAGTGCGTATTCGTTTGCCAATTGAATTAGTAATAGTTTTGACTATATTTCAGTAAAAAAAACTACTAATTGCTAGTAGAAAACTACTAATTCATTAGTGACTCGTATTTTTTACTTGTTATATTTTCCGACTGTATATTAAATAAATTATCGGTTTGGATTGAGGAATTCAAGTCAATGATAAAATAAGGCGTCAGTTCATTAAACATAGAAATAATATCTGATTTATTTCATAAAGGAGTCCTAAATCTAGCGGAAAAACCACTTAACAAAGTTCACCAATAAAAATTATTTTTAAGAAATTATAATTTTAAACTTTATTAAAATAGCACCAAAGGATTAATTAATAATTAATACGAGTCGATAATTATAGGCGACTGACACGTTCCTCGCACTCTTGCTCACTGAAGGGTTACTTCTACGAATTCACACAAATTCCGGGAATTTATTACAAGGGTACCGAGATTCAGAAGACGTGCTGCCTATCGTCAGGCGTCACTCATTCATAACGACAATATGTCGACAATTTGAACATACCGCTCGCCTCGCCTATAATTTCGCTCAATTAAAGTAAAAAAAGGAAAAATTCGAATTAAATTAAATGTGGTTTTGCTGCCCGCCATGCTAAATAATGACAAATTAGTTTATAAAACAATTTCAAAAATTAACAAACACAAAATTTCAAACATTCATTCTGAACCCATTAATTCTCATTCATCATTCTTACCGGAAGTAAACAGAGTTTACTCAATGGACGTTTAAATTCCGAATCTGCAGTTTTTACTTTGACTACGCGTACAACATTATCAGAATCCTCGATACATTCTAACACTCTACCAAGAAGCCACTGAGCTGGAGGGAGATTATCGTCACGCAGAAGTACCATATCTCCTACCTTAATATTTGGTGTAACAGTGCTCCATTTATAACGTTTTTGCAAACTTTGCAAATAATCAACGCGCCATTTTTTCCAAAAAATCTGAGAAATACGTTGAATTAATGCCCAACGAGTTAAGCGATTTTCGGGAGTAAATTCAAGCGACGGCTCAGGAATGCAAGTGATTGGTGCACCAATTAAAAAATGACCCGGTGTTAAATAAGAAAAATCCCCAGCATCTACAGAGAGAGAAGCAATAGGACGCGAATTTAAAGTAGCCTCCACTCGAGTAAGTATTGTGTAAAACTCTTCAAAGGTAAATTTATGAAGGCCGATAATTCTTCGTAAATGATACTTTACACTTTTTACTCCGGCTTCCCATAACCCTCCAAAATGCGGAGCATTTGGAGGTATAAAATGCCATAAAACCCCATCAGTAGTCAGTTTGTTATGCAAATCAGCATCAGCTTTCAATTGCATAAGATGCAGTTTTACCTCTCTCAGTTCCCACAAAATTACGACCGTTATCACTATAAACATTAGATGGTTTACCTCTTCTGGAAACGAAACGCTGAAACGCAGCCAAAAAAGCTGCTGACGAATGATCGGAAACAAGTTCAAGATGGATCGCTCGAGTGCAACAACAGACAAATAAAGCTATATACGCCTTTCGAGTTTTACAACCTCGACCTGGGCTCAATATCACTTCGAAAGGGCCAGCATAGTCAACTCCTGTATGACTGAAAGGTCGATTGGGAGTGACTCGAAAGTCAGGCAAATCGCCCATAAGCTGTTGACTAACAGCTGCCCTTTGTCTGACGCATACAACGCATTTATTAATAATTGATTTAACCGAAGAAAGTGCCCCAATGAACCAATAGTTTTGCCGCAATGTATACAAGGTTAACTGAAGACCTCCATGCAAACATCTGACATGAGCATGATGTGCAATTAATTCACTAATTTTATGCCTTGGCAGAATTATGGGATGCTTTTCATCATACCTAATTGGAGCATTTTTTAAACGACCTCCCAACCGAAGAATCCCACATGAATCAATGAAAGGACTCAGAATTTTAATAGAAGATTTCATTGTCAAAGTCTTTTGATTTTTTAATTCCTTTAGTTCAGATTAAAAAAATTCCCTTTGTATTAGTTTTATAAAAAACACACGCGTTTGCTCAATTTCTGAGGTAGTAATTGAAGAAGGTTTGTAGCTTGAATTTAACTTAAAATTTTTAATTATATTAGTAAATCTAAAACAATAAGTCATGACTCGTAGCAACTTAGGCCAAGATGAAAATCTATCAGTAATTTCTTGATAAGAAGTCTGATCACTCTGTGCAAAATGCGATTTTACTGTTTTCTTTTCCAATTCAGTTGATTTAAAGATCGATTTATCACTTTTTGGAAGTTTTTTCAATTCATGAGAAAGCCACTCAGGCCCTCCCCACAACAAAGAATGATCGAGCAATTCTGTCGGCATTAAACCCCTAGACGCGCAATCGGCCGCATTATTCTCAGTAGTAACGTGAAGCCACTGTGCTTGAGGAATTAATTCGTCAATTAATGCCACTCTATTGGCCACAAAGGTTTTCCATGTAGAGGGATGTTTTTCCAACCACGCTAAAACAACACTTGAATCAGTGAAACAATAATGAGGAACACCTTGGAATTTCAATTTCTCTAGGCCATATTTCATGAGCTTTGATAATAGAACTGCAGCACACAATTCCAGACGAGGTATACTAACCGGTGTAATTGGTGCGATTCTGGATTTCGAAATTAAAAGAGTAGTATGAACTTTATTGGAATCATCGATAACACGAAGGTAAATATTAGCCGCGTAGGCACGATTGGATGCATCTGCGAATCCGTGCAGTTCACTATTTGAATTAGTTACAACTGCACCTACCCAACGTGGTATTTCTAGATTTTTTAGAACTTCTAACTAATTATAGTACTCAAACCACTGTTTCAATAAATCAGGTGTCAATTTCTCGTCCCAATCCAATTTACGCAACCACAATTCCTGCATAATAAGTTTTGCAGTAACAACAACAGGAGCTATCCAACCAAGTGGATCATACAATTTTGCGATAACTGACAAAACCGTTCTTTTCGTAGGAATATCAATTAATTCCAAACTAACTCCAATTCGAAAACAATCCAACGAGGGATCCCAACCTAAGCCTAGAACTTTCAAAGATGTGCCCTCAATTGATTGTTCATCTAAAGCTCGTTCATGATTGTGTGAGGTGCAATCACTTAATAAAGCATTATTATTCGAGGCCCACTTACGCAAATAAAAACCCCCACTTTTCATTAAATTAACTACTTGATCCTTTGTTTCTTTAGCTGTTCCGAAATCGTCCTTTCCAAAGAAAACATCATCAACGTAGATATTCTCCTCAATTATAGGCCTTGCTAACGGAAAGTTCATACCTTCATCTTGAGCTAACTGTTTGACTACTCTGTTGGCTAAGTATGGGGCGCATGCCGTACCATAAGTAACTGTTAAAAGTTGATAAGCTAACAATTGACCTTCAGAGTTTTTACACAAGATCCGTTGATAATCTACGTCTCTTGGATCGATTACTATTTGTCGAAACATTTTTTCTGCGACGGCTACAAGAACGTAGCGATATTTGCGCCAATTAATTAAAATAGAAACTAGATCATTCAATAATGGTGGACCAATGTAAAAATGTGAGTTTAGAGAAGTATTATTTGGAGTGAGACTTGACGCATTAAAAACAACCCTTAATTTAGTTGTCAAACTACTCTCTCGAAGAATAGCATGGTGTGGTATATAAACAGTTTGAGAAGACTTGTCAAACTCGGTCTCCTCTACTAAACGCATATGACCTAACTCGCGATATTCTGATAAAAAATCCTTATACATTTCAAATTGTTTCGGCTTTCCCCTTAAGCGACGTAAAACTCTATCCAAAATCATTTTTGTTCTTCCGAATGACTGACCTATATTTATAGGTGGACCACTTTTAAATGGCAATCGAACCATATATCTACCACTTAATAAGCGTTTGAAAGTCGAGTTAAAATGTTCTTTACATTTCAATTGCTCCTCTGTCAAAGATGGAGCAGTAGGTATTTCTTTCAAATTCCAAAAACGCACAACTGCATCATGCAATTCTTCGGTTGAAATCTTGACATTAGCATTCAAAGAAAGAACAGAAGGTGTTAAAGAAGCATCGATTAACCCTAAAATAATCCAGCCAAAAATTGTGGCTTACGCTGTTAGACTGCCAAAAACGTTGTGTTTAAGACCTGGTAGCAAGCAAGAACCAAGCTTGTCTGCGCCTAGAATAAAATCTACTGGAAGGTCACTGAATGGATCTGGATCGGCCAATGATAAAGCCTTTAAATCTGAATTAGAAATGAAATCCGGTTTAGTGGGTGGGTGATAGGAGGTGGGTTCATATAAAACTAGAGCTTGCAAAGTTAGAGCTTTGCAGCCCTTTTCCTTAGGTAGGAACTGAAAATGAGCCAGCTTTTTTGCAACACCAACTGGTTGCCCCCCTACTCCATAAATAAGTGCATTAATTTGATCATATTTCAGTTTCAAAATTTCAACTGCTCTCTCTGAAAAGTAGATATACTGTGCCGGTTCTACGCCAAGAAACCTGTAACCGACACTTACCGACACTGAAAAAAAAATTGGTTCAAATCCGTGCTAAATGAGAAAAAAAATAAAAAACCAAATAGAGAACGATTTTTTTTTTTTAATGAACGTCCCCCACCCCTCTCCTTTGAAAAAAAAAATTTTTTTTCAACAAAAATTGTGAAACTTATAATTATAATTATAAGTAAAATAAATAGGTGTTAGTGAAAAGTTTATATTATATTTAGAGGATTAATGGTAAGTATAGAAAAAGATTTTTAAATGTATTTGTAACAAAAAAATTTTTTTTTCAAAAGTTGCATAATTATTTGCAATTGAGATTTTAATTTAAGACATACATTAAATACATACAGAACTAAACGTAGACATTGTGATTTAGATAAAATCAGTATTATTGAACAATAACAATTATTTTTGAAATTAATTGATATAATGGTAAAGCAGATTCTATTTATCGAAAATTAATCTTCTCTTTTGATAATAATGTAATTTGATTTATGTTATTCTTTACTGTATAAACTTATAATGAACTTTAGCCATTATAGCGCCTACCTAGATTTAGTTAATATTTTATATTTTGTATTGTTACTTACGTAACTATTAGAATTTAGGAGTACTTTTGTACGAAAGGGCATGTCCCGTTATGTTCTAAATAAATAAATAAATAAATAAATAAAAGACGTTATATTATTTGATATAAAAAATATTGCTCATTATTTTTTCTGAGAATAAAATAATGTAAATAATTTTTTTATTAAATATTAGATGTGAAAAACACCACCTGAGAATTTTGTTTATTTAATGCGCAAATTCTATGGCGTATAAATTTCGCTTAGTATTTTATTCTAAGAAAAATAATTTAAATTATTTATTTAATACGCATTATATGTGTATTAGATGCGAAAAAAGCACCACCTGCAAATATTAGAATGCGTCATTCTCTATAAAATATATATATATATATATTATGTTTCTGAGAAAAATTATTAAGTTTATTTAATGCGTACCAGTTAAAAAAGGATAAAATATATTTATTAAAAGAAGATGAATAGAAATTAAAGGGTATAAAAGGCGAGCAGTAGACATATACTTTTCATTCAGTTTTTGTTAAGTCTCATTTGCTCTTGATGTGCTTTTCTTATTTTTCTGATAAATTAAAATAAATCTTTTAAACGTTTTTAACTTTTTAACGAAGTACAGCTCCAGTTTTATATAAAATATTATTTTAAAAATATATTTAATAATTCTTATTAAAAAAGAATAAAAAATAATGGAGAGTAAACTAAAAAAAGTGAATAGAGCAGCTAGTTTTCTGCCAATCAAAAAACTAAAAGATTTAATAGTAGATGAATTTTATAATGTTACAGATTTAAAAAACATTGATACAAAATATGGACCTAAAATTGTCGCTGAAATAGATAATTCATATGTAATTTTTTTACCACAACGAATGTTCAAAGTGTTTGAAAGTGATCAAGATTCATTTACTGAACTGAGAAAAGCAGCAGAAAAAGGAGAATTGCAATTGAAGTTTAAAGGTGGAAATTATAATTTTTTTGAATTTGTTTCAAAAATAGACTAAAAAAAAAAAAAAAAAAAAAAAAAAAAAAAAAAAAAAAAAAAAAAAAAAAAAAAAAAAAAAAAAAAAAACATCAGTTACTACTTTCTACAATTTATAATTTAAATTCTTCTTTCACAAAACAAATAATTATCGGTGCTGAATTAAAAAATAATTTATCTATAAAAGTAAAGCTAACAAGCAGCCATCCACAAACATCAATCTCTTTTTCAGAAGAAGAGTGGGAATATTTTAACAGTTATTTCTTCGAAATTAATGAATTTTTTAATAATAAAGTGGAACCTCATGAAGCAAACTGTGGTGTATTTAGTTTGAAATTTGTTACTTATTTAAATAATCGATTTGTTTATGTGAAAAGAACAAATGAACAAGAAGTAGTTTGGTCTAATTCATTTTCATTTCAATTTGAAACATTTCTTGTTTTAAAACAACTTAATCTTTGTATAAAACAAAGAATAAAAGCACTACAATTTCTACCATTACAATATATAAAGTCGAGCATTATTAAAACAATTGCAGAAGTTATTTGTCAACGATTGGATTTACAAAATTTAAAAACCCTGGAAAAAATAATTCACAAAAACTCTTTAAAATTATTAGAAAGAATATTATTAAAGAATAATTTTCAAATTTCTATAATTATTGAAATACTTTTTTGTGAAATCATTACCTTTCACTTGAAGAAAATTTGTGTAGAAGTTTTAATTTATATACAAAATTTTAACATAAATTCAATGTAATTTGAAGAGGAAAAAAAATGGAAGAAATTCATCGTAAAAAATTGGATCAATTGTGTGAGGAACTTATTTTGTACATTGATATGAATATTCTTTGGCCTCTATTATTAAAAAATAAAATATACAATAGAGATGATTGCAACATTCCAATTTGGAAAGTAAGTAAAGTGATTTACATTCTATTAATAATAATAATAATAACTTTTTTATTGTTTAATGTATTGTATATCTTATGCATATAATTTTTTTCTAGAAAAATTTAAATGATTTGGATACTGTTAGAGATATTTTTTTAACAATTAAAACACGAGGTCCTGACGCTTATAAAAATCTTCTAAAAAGCTTGAGAGAAGCAGAATATGATGTTTTAGCTATAGTATTGGAAAATTATCAAATAATCGAAGATAACATCAATAAGTAGCTGGTGATGATTGGACCGAGGAACAACAAAGAAGAATTAAGTTATATTATTATTTTTTATGATAAATTAATATTTTATTTATGTTAGTTTATATTAAAAAAAATTAATAACTATGTTAATTATAATTAATATTTAATGTGAAATTTTTTGAAAAGGTTAAATAAATATTCAATAAATAATTTAATTTATTTTTTACTTTATTTATTTAAAAAAAAACCCTTTTACATATCATCTTTATTTATCCATGAATTATGAGAATTATCGAAGCCTAACCACTTTACATATATTCGATTTTTACGTTTTTTTAATACTTTTTCAATTAAATAAATATCTGAATGCTTTACATTTGCAAGTTCTTCTTCATAAAAATTACCTAATACTGGAATATTTTGATAATCTTTTAATAAGTATGTTATTGGTGTAGTATTATTTATACAATCAACTGTAAAAATTTCTGTCGTCCAGTTTGGTGTATAGCCTTTTTCAAAAACATGTTTTAGTTTACTTATTCTAACTTTATCTCCTATATTAAATTTTGGTCTCTTTTTCAAAGTATTTACAAGAAATCTTTTATATACATTGAATAAAATTGTTTTTTCATTATTTTTATTTACATCTTTTGGTTTTAATTTAATTGTTCGATGTTTAGTATTATTATAAGATGAAATTAAGTTAGATAAAATATTTAACCAATTATAATGTCCCTGTAAACTAAATTGCATCCACATTTTGTTTTTTATGGTACGATTAAATCGTTCACAAATTGACGCTTTTAAATTGCTGTACGTAGAGTACATATTTATTTTATATTTTTCCATAAGATTTTTAAAGTGAGTATTGTAAAATTCTTTTCCTTGATCAACGTGTAAATTTTTTGGTACACGCTTTTGATTCAGCACCGACTTCATTGCAGCAGCAACATCTTCACCAGTTTTATTCTTTACAGGAACAGCCCAGCCAAATTTAGAGAAAATATCGATGACAGTTAAAATATATTTGTAGCCTTTATTTTCCTTCGCATATGTTGTCATTTCTACAAGATCGGCTTGCCAAGTTTCATCGATTGCTCGTATATCAAATTTTCGTCTTAAATAATTTTTTCTCGTAGGCTTGTGTAATTCTTTAACGAGAGCTTCTTTTTCCGCGTTCATTTCTTTTCAAGCGCTCTTAGTCTGTATTCGAATTGAGAAATAAATTCAGAGTTCAAGAACACTCGTTTATCTAATTCATCATATTCGTTTTTAAAGTTTTCAAAAAACTCTTTATCAAAATTAAAAGTTAGTTTTGTAATGGCGGATGTAGTATTATTAACTTGTTGTCTTAAAATTGTAATAATATTATAAAATTCTTCTGCATTTTTTTCTAATAAATTTTGCACTAATTTTAAGTTTACAGCATCATTGTTTTCTGAAGCTTCCGCTACATTACATAATTTTTTATTTTCAATGTTAAAGTGTCCTTCAGGGGTGACCTTGAAGCCAACACCGGGAGGTCCTCGAATTGAATTATCACTTCTTTTAAAGGAACGTCCAAATACGTCGAGAGACATTGTTTAACTAATGTATTTTTCAATTAACCATCATTAATAAATAATATTAGCTTCTCGCAGTTCCTCAATGATGGACATAATTTCATTATTGTGACTTGAATTTCCTGCTGCTTCAGATGCTAACAATAAACGTAATCGATCAACCAATTCATTTGGATCATCCCAATAGATATAATCAAATTTATTTCCTTCTCGAGCAATCATATACTCTGGGATACCTCTACCTGAAAAGTTCTTATCACCACTTTTTCTAGAAGTAGATAAGAATTTTTCAATAAAATGTTTAAATTTAAAGGATTTACTCGTGCGTATATCACCATCCTCGCTGTAATGTTTTTTATGTGCGTTTGTCAGTAAAATAATTGATTTATAATTTTCAAGATCTTCCGCACTTATAGCAGATACACTAGGATTTTTTTTAAAAAGAAGCTCAAGCAACCCATCACTAATGGGAAATGTCATGTTACCAATATGAATATAATTTTGACTAAAACTTATCGTAGAATTACCAATCATTAATCTATCTTTCGTTAATTTTCGTACACCGTATACAGTATCAATATCTTTACTTCTTTGATTTAAAAGAGTAAGATATGCTCTGGTATTCTCATCAGTTGATGGTGTAGAATGTGCTACTGGAATTTCTTGATTTGTTAATTCTAGAGGATTCGATTGATTTTCTTCAAATGTTGCTGATTTAAATGATTCTTCATTTACATTATCATCGTTATAACTGTCAAATTCTTTTTTTTTCAATTCTTCATTTTTTACATTTGTTTTCTCTTTTTTAATACCATCAATTGTTTTAAAAATTTCAATATCACCAACTAACTTTTCCAGAGGATTAACAATGGGTTTAAAAGTATCTCCTAATGTTTGTTCAAAAGACTCTTTACTTAATTTTAGTAATTTATGTTTTCTTCGAATTGCCTCGCTAGCTTTTGCCAAATTTTGAGCGAGGTCTTTTTGTTTATGAATATGGTCAGCCCTTAAAGATGACATCTTGATTAAACAAAGTCTCAATTCTAACTAAGCGTTTTTTTAATCAGTACAAACTTTTATGAAACAATCAAAACCCTTTCTGTATCTACCAAAATTAAGTTCACTGTCTTTATCAATAACAACAAAGCCGTATTTATTACTTTTCCAACAAGATGAACATAAATCTCGAAATTGTGTGTAAGTCATATCTGTGTTAATGTGATCGTCATAGATATGTTTAAGATTTACTTCATCTTGTTTAAATATTACCAAAAAATTAACGTTGTCGCGAATTAAATGTTTTGGAATTCGTGTATAAGTTTGACATAAATAAAAACAATCAATAAGTCTATGACGACCCATTGAAAAAAATTCTCGAATTCTGTCCTGCTTATCACATGCGACATCATCAAAAACAATTGTAGAATTTGGTTGAGCTTCATTCGGTTGTATAACCTTTTCATAATCTTGAAATGGAAAATACTCAATATTCTCAACTAATTGAAGAGTCTTTTCTAAAAATTTATATTTTGGTTGACTCAAGGATTTGGAGAAGATGTAGACATTTTCAAAACGTAATCCATTTGGATGTAATAGTAAAGCAAGTAAGGCATTTGTTTTTCCACAATTGGATGGGCCACAAAAAATTGTTCGCACTGTATTAGGTAATAAATTTCCATGACGTTTATTTTCCGATTTTTGTTGCATTATTTTATCAAAATTTGTAACAGGTAATTTTGTTAATTGTGTTTTAAATTCCATCTTGATGAGTACTGAGGTAAAAACTATAAATACGAGGCTTTTATTGATTTTTGTGTCAGTTTATGATAGGCCTCTCTCTAGTAAAGAAGATGTATTTATATATTTGTACTTTTTGATTGCCATGAGTTTTTGTATCTCGATTTTGATTTTGTTGAGGAGGAGGAGGGAGTTTGAAGCACTGGATTCCACCATCATCATAGGATTATGAATTGGTTGTATAATTGACTATTACTGTCATAGGTTTTTCTTAGAATGAAGGAAGATCATTAGAAAGAATATTCTCTCTAATTCAGCAAGAAATGCTGGATCTAAGTAAAACCAACTCTCTAATTCAGCAAGAAACGCTGGATCTAATCTAACCTTCCAGGTTGAAATTTCACATTGAACTGACCCAAAATACTATAAATACATCGCTTTTATACTTTTTCACTTCAGTCTTGAAAAGAACATTAAATGAATATAAACATGCGTGTAAAGAAACAAGCAATCAGTAATCGAAAACCTATCAAACGTGGTAAAGGTCTTTTTAATAAAATTATCAATAATTTACCCGTTGAACTACATATTCCTGGTTATCAGTACTGTGGACCTGGAACGAAATTAGTAAAACGATTAGCACGCGGTGATCCTGGAATTAATCCTCTCGATCAAGCTTGTAAGGAACACGACATCGCTTACTCGCAGAATAAACATAATCTAGAAAATAGACACGCAGCTGACAGAGTACTTTCTGAAAAAGCTTGGCGTCGTGTACTCGCTAGTGACGCAAATCTTGGTGAAAAAGCAGCAGCTTTTGCAGTTGCAAATGCCATGAAGATAAAAACAAAATTAGGAATGGGACTTAAGCTTAAAAAAAAGAAAACAAAAACAAAATTGAAAATGGGACTTAAGCTGAATAAAAGAAAGAAGAACAGTAAGGCCATATTTCCATTAAGAAATATTGTCTTGGCTGCAAAAAAAACCATTGCACCTAGTAATATTGATACATATTCTGCAATCAAATCAGCTCTAAAAGGTGCACGAGTAGCCGTGAAAGCTGCTGGTGGAAAACGTAGAGTAAAGCAACCTAGAATTTTACCATTACCGAAAAAAGTTGGTGGTTTTTTACCATTTCTCGTGCCACTTTTTGCTGGGCTTAGTGCGATAGGAGCTCTATCTGGTGGTGCTGCTGGAATAGCTAAAGCAGTTAATAATGTAAAAGCAGCTAAAAAACAACTCGAAGAGAGTCAACGTCATAACAAAGCAATGGAGTCTCTAGCTCTGGGAAAAGGTCTCTATCTCAAACCATACAAACAAGGATTAGGATTAGAATGTGCTTTAAAAAAAAAAAATTAAAGAAAAACAAAATTGTAAAATTACCTCAGCGACCATTAACTGATTACGATTTACTTAAATACGCTTCTATATTAAAAATTCCTCACTTTCGTGGTGTTTTTATGCGTGATGAATTACCAGCTATGGGGCCTAATAAATTTGAATCAGCAATAGTTAATCTAGATAGTAAAGATAAAGCTGGTACACATTGGGTGTCTTATAAAAAGAAAAAAAATGACATTATATATTTTGATAGTTTTGGTAATCTTCAACCACCTAAAGATCTCTTAAAGTATTTCAATGTCAATAATGTAAAGTACAATCATAAAAGATACCAAAATTATGATACTTATACATGCGGCCATTTGTGTCTAAAATTTCTCTGTAATCAACTTGAGTTAAAAAATGTTTTTATTTTGTATAAATAAGGATTTAGGATACTTTTATCGTTTAGTCTAAATTTAACCATCAATATGAACGAATCATTAACTTTAACATTATCAAACAAGTCATCTATCTTGGAAGCACAGTATTTT